TATGCAGGCGTGCGCTGCAAAGAGAGTTCATAAAAGATAGGGATAACTATCAAATAAGCCCTCGAACTTACTTAAAAAGGGCAAATCACCCCTTTTATAGAGGGCTCTGTACGGCTGTCACCATTTGGGGTGGTTTCCGGTGGAATTTTTTGATAAAAATTTTTTAGCATCTTCTTCGTTAAGTCTATTTTACCCATACCAAATTTCAGCTAAAAATTCAATTGGGAAGACATTCAAGTGATTTTCTGAAATATATTTCGCTCTTTAACTGCGCAGTTATCTTCAAAAATTCATTTGACTGCCTTCCCGATTAAATTTTTAGCTGAAATTTGATATGAGTAAACTAGACTTAATGAATAAGATGCTAAAAAACATTCATAAAAAAATTTCACCGGGAACCGCCGCAAACGGCGACTGCCGGATAGAGCCTCCTATAAAAGGGTTGATTTTCACTTTTTATGTAACTTCGAGGGCTTATTTGGTAGTTCTTCCTAAAAGATATTATATATTATGTATGTAACTACATATACATCATGGCCATGACTGTGAATACAAACATATTTGAATAAGAATTTATTAATTATAATATTTTGCATTTCTTAAACGCATTAAATGGACAATATCCTCTGGCCTCCAAGAAATTATAACTTTTAATCTGTGTAAAGTGTAAGATATCACCATCATTAAAGAGTTTACGGAGATCTAGCTAAGTCACAAAATATAACTATACGGAAGACAAATCATAAATCTCTTAGCAAATATATGTAAACCCATGTTCATTTTTTGTGATACAAATTATAATATGAAATACATTAATTTTAGAAAGATGCGACTATCTAATTTTATTAATCATACCTTCATTTTAAGTGAGGATATATTATTCCTCTAATAGTGCTATCTTCCCAATTTCACTTATTGATGCATAACTTCTTCATTTATTAGTTTATATTTGTTGCTTTTAGTGTTATTTTATTTGAGAGATTTAGTTTTATTCTTTTTGTAACGTGATGTTTTAGTTTTGGGTCAGTATCATTTTTCGTCGCATACTTTACGCTTTTCTATTACAACAATAATTTAATTGGTTGTGTTATATAATTGGGATGACATTTAATAATTGAAATTGAGTAATTACCGAATATTGAAATGTTAAATACTATTAATTAAAAATGGATACATGGTAATTACCCAATTTTAATACAATCACCGGTTTTTAACTCATATATAAAGTGTAATGTATATTTTATCAAATATGCATATAGAATAATCTTTCATTAAGAAATGAAATCGTAGCCATAGAAGGATGATCCGGAATACTAGTTTTTTTTGTTAGCTATTTTCCTGTATGTCCCTCAAGTCTTAATAGCATTGATTTTGGCTCCAAAATATTAACAATTTTACAACTTTTAAAAATCAAATTTTATTTTAAAAATAGTATTTTATCATTCACCTATTAATCAAATAAGTCGTCGTCATCATCATTACCCCAGTGCCGCAAAGGCTTCCACCTGCGATGGGGTAAGGGAGATTCGAATGTATGCGGTCTTACCCATGTACTAAAGCACAAAGAGACTGCTTCCGGATGTTCCATAATGAAAATCGCGTCCAAAATTGCATGACCTGAGTACTGCTGCTTCATAACAAAGAAGCACTGACAGTTTAGTGAGTCATTTCACTTTATTGCATCGAATAAGTAAATGCATATAATTGGAATCAATTAGTTCTAAATGTTGAACCACGTGTTCATGTCCATGTCTATGTCATGTAAATTATATTATACATTTGGTAGTCCTGTGTGCATGATACATACAATATGCTAAATTTGTAACTTTTTAACTTTGTGTTTATTTCTTACACTCTATATGTCACTTTAAGTTTAGATTATGTCCTCCAAATGTCATCTTAAAATTCAATTGAGTGGTCATTTAAACAAGTTAATGAAAAACACTTCGTTTTTTTGTATAGAAGGATGTCATTGTATTTTGAATACTATATTTAACAGATTTTTAGATTAAATTTTATGGTAAATATTTGATGGACACAATCTAGATTTCATGAAAAACATGTTCACAAAGTTTTATAAAAAAAAGTTCACGCAAAAGCACCTCAAATGAATGCGATCAGAAGGCGATTCCTATTGAGCTGGCCCGACTGGACCATTCCTCTTTGATTTTAATGACTTTAGATTGTGATCATTTGCGTTTCAATATACCTATGAATATAGTTTGTTTATATTAACACTTTACAAAACAAATTGAGAAAGATGGACTTTATATTCAATCAACCTCGTAAACTATTTTGCAAAACAAACTGGGATGAAGGGAGTACACTATAGTTATTTCTTGTAGTTGTTCATAATTATAGAATAATAGAAGTGTTATGGATGCAATTTTTAGTGTGAAGATTTTGACAAAGGGTGTTCATATTATATCTATGTCAAGTTTTTGTTATCATATTTTCATAATATCTTTATTCACAGAATAAGCTGAGTGTATTAATGCATATAATTGAGGTATTGAATATGAAACATAATTTACGATATGATTAGGTCAAGCAATATATAAGAACATTATGTGACTGTTACAAGTCAGTTGGATGTTGTAATGCAAAAGCGTGAATTGTTTTTTTTATTGTATAACCATTATTTTTCATATTGTATAACCATTTGAAATCACGGTTTGTTTGTTTTGGTTCAGTTTTCGTTTTTTTTTTTTCAATTTTGACCAAAACATTTTTGTTGATTAAAAAATAAAATCTCGAAAACAAAAACAAATAAACTATATTAAACTATAGTTAATAGTAGTACGTAATACAATACAAAAAAAGAGAGAAAAAATAAATGCACTTCTAAGCAATGAATTAGTGTGTGTATCAATAAAAACATAAAAAAAATCAATACAAACATTTCCTAAATTCATTAAACACATATGTTTATATAAGAATTATATATAGAGCATCTGAAAGAATTAAAATTATATTTGTAAATGTCATGTCCACTAATTCATGTTCTTTTTAATAAAAGATTTTTATTAATAGTAAACAACTTTTCTATTTGGACAAAGGTATATGCTCTAAAGTTTCACCTTTTATGCTAAGGTATAGTTTATATTAAAAAAAGTTTATATTAATACATATTTATTCAGTAATAAAAAATTATGTGATAACAAACTCAAATAGTTACAAATATCATTGTCATGCAACACCAAACAAAATGTAAACTATGATTAAAATTATTTAAAAATAGCAACATATATTAGTATTACAACAATAGATCACTAAAGAGACGGATAATACTTTTGATCTAGGGCTAAGCGCCGCTAGTCTTTCGTCCGGTCTTGGCGATTTTGTCGAGGCGCGGTGGCTCTTCGGAAGCATCGTCAGTGGAGAGAGGCCCGAGTTCTTAAAAGCAGGTGGGGAGAAGGGTTGGATCGTGGAAGAAACACGTAATTTTCGAAGAAACCGAGAGATCGCTTGCTATTGCTGCGAGTTAGATGGAGTCCATAGCCGATAGATATCGAAGGATGAAGGTGACTGAGAAGGAAACGGAGCTGGTCTGCGATGGTGCCGAGGAAGAAGAGGAGGCTCGGGAGATGGTTCGTCCGCAGTTCTCGGTGGTTGGAGCCCTAATTACGGACCAGAAAATCAACTTTGCAGGCTTCAAGGAGGCGATGGCATCGGTGTGGAGGCCAGGCAGAGTGGTGGAAATCAAGGAAATCGAGGAGAAAATGTATATTTTTAACTTTGATCACCCCGTTGATATGAAGCGTGTGATTGATGGAGGTCCTTGGCAGTTTGAGATAAACTTATTAATTGTGAAGGAAATCAAACCAACGGATATTCCTCATAAAATTACTCTAAATGAGGCAGAATTCTGGGTTAGGGTTCATAATGTTCCCTATGGTTTGATGAATTTAGGTACTGCTAGAAAAGTGGGTAATTTTCTGGGCAGATTCGTTGAATATGATAAAAAAATACTTATGGTGAACAGTGGAGGCCGTATATGCGGGTTAGAGCTTGTATTAATGTGGAGTTCCCTTTGAAGAAGGGTACAACACTGAAAAAAGAGGGAATGAGCTATTGGGTGGACTTTCAATATGAGAAGCTACCTAACTTTTGCTTTATCTGCGGGGTTATGGGGCATTCCGAAAAAATTTGCCCACTTATGTATGAGGAGGGTCTTGTGCTGGAAAAACACTTTGATGCGTCTCTTAGGGTAGGAGGCGGGGTGAAGACTAGGCCGACAGGAAAAAATAAATGGTTGATTGGTGAAGGCTCTAATCCGGGGAGGGATCAGCGGGGATGGAAAGAGCAGAGGATGGGAGGAAGTACATTGGGGAATAATGAAGATTCAGATGGCTCGGGTAGTGCTTCCAATAAGGAAGTGGTTCTGAAACAGAATGAAGAATCTTCGGGAGAGAAGCGCAGACACGGTTCGCGGGACTACGGTTTTCTTAAGTTATCTTGTCTGTTTTCCTACTCTCCAAATGGTTTGAGTTATATGTAAGCCGCTTTCGTCCAAAAAAAACAATAGATCACTAAAATGCATGTACACATGTTTCGTTTAGTTAAACCATAAATATCAAAAGTCGACATCTTGCAAATCATGATAAATTTGGTATCAAACATTAAATTTATAGTATTAAAAACTAAACCAAATATTATACTTAATGATTAACAAAAAAGAAGTATCATTTTTTAAAAGTTCGATTTGTTCGGTTCGATTCGGTTTTCAGAAGTGAAAACCAAAACTGTAATCAAACTACGATTCGTTTTTTTGAGACTGATTTCGTTTTTCTTACTGTTAAGTTTGCTTGGTTTTTTTGGACAATTCTTTCTAACCTATTATAGTATCTGTTCAATGTTAATGTTAACATCCTTGAACTGTGATGTGATTTGAACCAGTGACCTCCTCTTTGGGAGTGTTATGATTAAATTAAATAAACTAAAAATTTGAATATTAAATTAAGATTTGTTAGACGAACTCATATAATAGTAAAAAGAAAAAGAAGGCGAGAGCGCGACAGGACGATGAATTTTGAAATTCACCATTGAGGCTTTGAAGAAAATACAATTAACCATTACTACTAGTATTATTATTATTTGATTTGATATTTGAAGTCTAATTTTTGAAAGGGATCTTGAAAGCTCCATTTCTTCCTCTTCATTCCTATCTTCTTCATCAGCATAATATTAAATATTTTGATGTTTATAGTTTTCATGTATGCTTAGAAGGCCTCTTCACCCACCCGAGTGCCATAGCTGTGCTGTTCATTATTTCTCCTCCACTAGCGGGGAAGTCCTTCCAGAAGACGAAGAACACTGTCTAGTCGTCCAAGTGGACGCTGGGCATTGGAGAAGCCTTGGGGAGTTCTAGCAGCGCCAGTGCCTGGTGATGTTAGTGGCTATTAGGTAATAATATTGGTCTGTTGGAGTTGGATTTCGAAAATGCGGAGCCGAGTGGTTGAGATCTGGAGCGGTTCTGTAAAATGAAGGGACTAGTTGTTGCGAACTTATCCGCCGCCGCCGCCGCCGATTATAGGGGTCTTCATCGTCACTTTCTTTGCGTTTTTTCGTTCCAACCTCTCGATGACTACCACTAAACGTGCTTATAAGCTACGTATCCTTTTCACTGTAGTTGCTCCTCTATTTTCTTAAAATTTTATCCTGGACAATGTGCTTAGAATCCTAGCTGATATAACTGTACGGAATTATTTCTGTCGTGTTCCTAGATCTTTTTGGTTAAGAAAACTTATAGCAGCAAGTTTAAGTTCTTTTTGTTTTGATTTTGTTGCCCTTGATGATTTGCATTGCTATAGAGGAGTTTGTAGCACATTCTTCGAGTGTGAACTGCCTCAAAATCGGGAGGAAGTCGTCTCGGATTCTTGTAACTGGTGGAGAAGATCACAAGGTTAATCTTTGGTCCATTGGGAAGCCCAACGCTATCCTGGTTGGTTCAGTTATCTTCTGCGTTTCCAGTTGTCTTATTTACCCATGTGTGTCTCTCATATCATGTATTCACCTAACTTGAGATAATGAAAGTCATCAACATAGTAAGCTAGCATCACCTTGTAGGCCTGTAGTACACTAGTACTAAACATGAGGTCTTTATTTTAGTACCAATCAGAACTAGATTGTACTATTGGAGTTAGCAGATATTTTGATGAAGTGCCATTTTGTTTCACTTTTTCTTTCATATGAGCCCCATCAACCATATTTTTTACCTAATGCTAAACCATCTATTTGGCCATCTTGGTTGAACTGGTTGATAATTCTATGAAAAAGCAAAAAGGGTATTTTTGGCTTAATTTGCTGAAATTAGGGTTTTAGAAATTATATAATTTAATTTAATCTAGTAGTCATTTGTTTAGATATTTTGTTCGCCAGATCATTAAGTTTAGCCAATCTAGCTATGTCACCCACAATTTCAGGAAATTCAGCCACTTCAAATCTTCAACCAAATTTGCTCTTGCCAAACAAGCTCTGAAAATGATTGTTTTGGTTTGCTTATATTTTCACGCGGACTGTAGGCTGGATCATATTTTCTTGTTGCATCACTTTTTGTTGGATAAATAGTTTATGATTGTATCCACTTTGGAATCCATGTATTAATCTAGTTATTATTGCCAGCACAATATCCACATTTTCATTGTGTCTCTGCTTTTGTGTAGAGTCTCTCAGGTCATTCGAGTGGGATCGATTCCGTCAACTTTGATTCTTCTGAAGTTTTGGTAGCTGCTGGAGCAGCAAGTGGTACTATCAAACTTTGGGATTTAGAGGAGGCCAAGAGTATGTTTGCTCTTATCTCTTAGAATTATGTTATTTTACTGTAATATTACTTTCTTTTATTTTCTGCTTTCAAAGTTATAGAACTTACCATTTCTGTTAATTGTTTTTTTTCATCTTTGTTTTAGTTGTCCGCACTCTCACTGGACATCGCTCTAATTGTATATCTTTGGACTTCCATCCCTTTGGGGAGTTCTTTGCATCTGGTTCTCTGGACACAAATCTAAAGATATGGGATATCAGAAAAAAAGGATGTATCCACACATACAAAGGTCACACTAGCGGCATCAATGCCATCAGGTTCACACCGGATGGCAGGTGGGTTGTATCGGGTGGAGAAGATCACACAGTGAAGGTAATTTTCCGTTAAACTTTTTAGAGTGCTCCCTACTATTGGCACTTGGCAGGAAATTATTTTGTATAACAAGCACTAATTCTTCATGGACTAACCTTAAAAACGTGTGCTCTTTATCGGGTTGTTATCTATTTAATACTTTGAAGATTGTATCATATTGGTATCAATTCTTTAATTTGTATCTTTTTCTACCAATCTACCTATACCAAGTTTCTAATTAATAGGAATGTTTGCTCCTTCTACACCCTTGTGGTGGGACCCTTCCCTGGATGCCAATGTGCACCGAGCTGCCCTTTCGGATTGCAATTTTAACTTTCAAAACCACAAATATAGTGATAGATGTTAACTAAAATTTATGAATGTCTAAGATAATAAGAAAGATATGCCTAACTTTCTTTGTATTTTTGTACTGTTAGTTTACGAAAATATTCATAGGCTTATCTGACCATTTATTATGGGTATTTCAATCATGTGACTCGCTTAACTCAACCAAAAAGAGAGTTACTTACTATGAAATAATCATGGCTCACTAAACTGTTTGCGCTTCTTTGTTATGAAGCAACAGTCAGTCTATGCAATTTTGTGGCACGATTTTCACTATGGGTTATTCGGAAACAGTCTCTCTGTGCTTTAGTACAGGGGTAAGACTGCGTACATCCGACCCCCTACCCTACCGTACACTACAAGAAACCCGTAGTGAAAATCGTGTCGATTGTAGGGGGGTCGGATGTACGCAATCTTACCCCTGTGTTAACGCACAAAGAGATTGTTTTCGGATGACCTGTAGTGAAAATCGCGTCAAAAAGTGCATGTATGCATCTGTATCTATATTTATATGAGCGCACATGTCAATATTTTCATAAGTTAGCGATATGGACATACAGTTGAGTTGGATATATCTTGGAAATATCAATTCAAAAAAAAAGCTTCAAGATATTTGGATGAAAATTTCGATTCGATATATGCACTTTATGAAACGTATAGCTCTAGTACCGAAAATATACACTTCATACAAAGTTTGTTCCAATTGGATACTAATTAAGGAATTGGTGATACATTCTTCAAAAGTGTTTGTATAAAAAGATACAAGTTATAGGATTGGTACCAATTTGATGCGGCTCTCAAAGTATTAGTACCAAATAGGCCAAAACCCGCTCTTTATCTCAGATGGTGTCACCGTTAGACTCGGGATATTTTTTCCTTGTTTCGATAAGAGTCAGCAAAACTTATGCACAATTTTGCTATATTTCTTGGTACATCTTCCCTCAAGCAATCTTACCTCTGCCGATTTTAGGCAAATGTACTTCCAGCTGTTTTATAATGGTTAGATATACTTGCACACAATATAGAGCCCTCTCTGCTCCTGAAAAATGGTGTAATGGACTTACTCTTGGTTCCTGACTGATTTTGCGTTTTGCAGCTGTGGGATTTAACTGCAGGAAAGTTGATGCATGAATTTAAATGTCATGAAGGTCAGATCCAGTGCATCGAGTTTCATCCTCATGAGTTTTTGCTGGCAACAGGTTGGTGTTAACATGTGTCATTATCCTGCATAATTTTGTTTACCGTGTCAATCTTTCATCACTTGAAACTCATTGTTTTCCTGATAACCTTTACTTTTCGATAATTTAAGCCATGATTCTGTGAATGGTGGTTTTTTGTTCTCCAACTTATTTGTTCTGTATTTACTCTGAGTGGATTTTGTTTCTCGCTTATATTTCAAAAGATCCAGCTATATCAGCGGTTAACTCAGATTTAGTCACTTAGGCTATTTCAGACTTTGCGAAGCGGGTTTGATAAAAAGAAATATTTAGTGGATGTTTATCATGCACTATCAAGGTATTGAAATCTGGATGAGAACGGGCTATTAAAGTGGTCCTGACAGCCCATTAGACCGGTGTTGGAGTGAGCTGGTAGAGAACCAGTTCAAGAATCGGCTTGAGCCGTTTTATGCCATGGGTGAACTGGTTCACCATTTTATTGCTTATTCCTTTGTCTAAAATGATGGTTTTCATTGAATGCTCTTATGTAGCATGGTATCATTGTTAGTTTTGGTTTTCCTACTATTAAATTAAAAAATAACATAAAGATATATTTTAAAATGAATTTATTGGTTAATATATGTGGTTCTTAATAGATGAAAAACCTTTACAGTTTGCTTTTGGATGCGGATTATAGTATATCTGTCTTTTCTTTTTGGATGTACCCAGTGGATAAAAGCTAGAGCAATGTTACTATTTATTTTCATTTCGAGTTACACTTGAATTATTTTTTCTTAACATACATGCACATAATGTATACTCTATGCGCTTATTTTTAATCACCTACACTAGGCTTTGCGCGGACTGCGGAGTTATAAGAAATTAAGAATAAAATAGTAGAAGCACTGACTAGTGTAGAGAAGTGAATAAGAAGGAGAAAGAAAACGAAAAGAAAGGAAATAAATGATGAGAAAGTAAGGACATCTATGTCAGTGATACATTTGTAATTACCCCCAAAGGAAACTGAAACAAGTAATAAAGAACTTGCATCCATAGAAAGCGAAACAAGTAAAATAACCTGAGCAATATATTACTCCTATCCCATGTAAAGTTCAAAGTAGCTCCAGGCTTGCTTTTTAAGAAAAGAAGGTAATGTGGAGAGAAAAGGTAGTATTAAATTGCTATTCAATGCGATAAAAGAGAACAAGTAGAGAAGTCGTTAGTGTGATTCAGAGATAAATGTCAAACATAATATTTTGAATACAAAACAATTACCCAAAAGGAAAAGTTTGTAGTTTATTAAGAGACTACCATATGAGGAATATGGTATGTTTTTTATGGCACAGAGTAATTATTTCATTTTTCCATCATTTGCAATGGAGCCAAAACACACTATTTTTTGGCTTGGAAATATGATGAAATAAAGCAAAATGGCTCACTAAACCGTCTGCTCTTCTTTGTTTTTGTTATGAAGTAGCAGTCAGTTCATGCAATTTTTGATGTGATTTTCACTTTGGGTCATCCGGAAACAGTCAATCTGTGCTTTAGTACACTAGGGTAATGATGATGATGATGATGATGATGAGAGTAATTATTTCATTAAATATATATTGCTTATTTATAACCAACTCAACCACTTTGATTACTGGTGTAATCCAACCCGGCCAATGAAATATGGAACCAGTACAATACAACAGCATCCAAGCCTTATTCCCAAAAGATTATGTGGTTGGCTAACATGAAACGGCCCATGATATCGGAGGCATATGGAACGAGTACAATGATGAGTCAATTACTGGTCTGGTTTCAACACCTTGATTACTGTTGATCCTTGCCTCAGCAGTAGAATAAAAATCCAAAAACATAGAAGTGTGTTTGAAATTCAGCGCTGCACTAGTTTTAGGAGATAATAATAAAATAGTAACAAGCAGATTCAGTTAAAAGGCTAGCCATGCATGCACCAGATGTTCAACTTGTTAATGCTCTTCTTTTCAATCATTCAATGTACACTAAAGGAGTATAGTTCGCGTCAGTTGGTTGTCCTTTTAATAAAATCCCTTAGATGTTATCAATCTCATTTTTCTTTTAACAGGTTCAGCTGACAGAACAGTTAAATTCTGGGATCTAGAGACATTTGAACTTATTGGTTCTGCTGGACCTGAGGTGACTCATTCTTATTGCCTTTGTTTTACCGTCTCTCACTTTATATTGCTACTCCTGGTCACTTGTATCTTAAAGTTCACTTTCTGGAATTACAAATAGTTGTTCATTTGTTTTGCAAATACAGACTTCTGGTGTTCGCTCTATGACCTTTAATCCCGATGGGAAAACCCTTCTATGTGGCTTGCATGAGAACATGAAGGTTTGATAGTCTGTTATCCACTTTAAACTTATATATTGGATAAATTTGTTATGGAATTTGTTTCCTTTGAACTTTTTTTAAATGATTGCTGTGATATATCATAGGTTATCTCATGGGAACCAATCAGATGTCATGATACTGTAGATGTAGGATGGTCCAAATTGTCAGATCTGAATGTTCATGAAGGGAAACTTCTTGGCTGCTCCTACAATCAAAGTTGTGTTGGTGTATGGGTTGTGGATATATCGGTACGAGTGCATTCTGTTTCTCTGCTAATTATCTTGTTTATGATTTAACTCTGGATTTATAATTAATATATTTGTGATCTAATATGCCCACAGCGTATTGAACCATACACAAGTAGAAGTACTACTCGATTAAATGGTCACTCTGAAGCCAAGTCTAATTCAAGTGCAACTTTACCGGGGCTGGATGCGGATTCTGCGAAATCCAACTTAAGCAGGCTTTCAATTTCACAAAATTCAGATCCTGTCAAAGAAGCTAAATCCTTTGCAAGACTGTCAGCTTATCAAAACCCAGACATTCAAAGAGAGCCCAAACCTCAGTCATGTATGCTATTTTTGATCTTTTTATCTTTTATTTTTTACTCAGTAGTTATTGCCGATTTTTGATTTATTTTCTATCACTTTCCTTCAATATTTTCATTTATATTTGAGTCCCTATTTTATGTTGCTTGTAATTTTCTAATATTCATAATGAGGTTGTCGTGACATTCTTTTGACTTATGTACTTTAATGTAGCTATTGGAATTATTCCTGGTACCCCACATAGGATAAACCCCCACACTGTTGGTCAGAGACCAACTTCAGTAAATTCAGTTGCTGCTCCTAACATGCCGGCTTTAAAGAGAAATTCGACCAAAGTTCAATCGACATCCAACGCATCAGCTCTCAATAGATCAGAAGTGGTGCCTGTTATTGTTCCAAGAAATAATTTAAGATTGGAGCAGTCAGCTGAACCCAGGAAAGAAGGAGTTGCAGGCCATGTGCCACAACAGACCCTGCAATTTAAAACATCTGACTTACGTAAGTTTTCTAATGCTGCTGGAGAACCAGGAAGACAAATGTATTTTGCAGAATCTGACAATGATGTCCCAAACCCTGTTGAGTTAAGTGGAGTTTCAGAGAAGAACATATTTGCCACAGTTAAGAATTCAATAAGTGGAAATACTGCATCTGAGAGGAGCATAAAGGATGACAAGCATTTGGCTCCTCTAAAGCTTGAAATATGTTCTATTGCTGAACCCGGTGCCAGAAACCAGCATGAAAGCTGTGCGTATTCACTCTTAAGCTGTATATCCTCATTTCAGATTTACAATCCGGTTTCTTTGTTTGCCTATATAAGTCATGTCCAGTGTACTCTTTTACATCTTTCCATTGGTTTATTTGACGATATGTATTATGTGTTGCCTCCAGCATTCACAAACCAAACTCTATTTCACTTGTTTCCTTTATGCGTCCTGCTTCCATTTCACAAAGTTTTGGCTTTTGCTAGTTGATCTGCTGCAACTATTCTCTTAGTTACTTTGTCATTTATGTAACAATTTAATTTGAACAGTTTCATTAGTTGTTATTATTTCCATAATGTGTTTTTTGGTAGAAGTAGATACCTTGAATCCTCTCTCATTGGTGTGGAAAAAAATCCTCTACAACTCTTTGCTTACCGGAGCTTGTATTTTGTCTACTTTGTAACCACGCTTTACTCTCATTTGTGAGATTTAGAGCTTGCGTTCAACATTATCATCATGAGTTCCTTTGTTGTCTGATGATTGGGCTAAAATTGATAATTTGATGCTCCACTCACTCTTGGGTGCACTTATACTTTTGGGATTGTGGCTCCTAAATACCAGCAGTCTTGCTTGTTAAAAAATTGAGTGGTTCACTTAATTCCTCTTGTTTGTATGTATGCTGCATGCTGTTTTAAAATTTTCCATAACACTAATTTATGTACTACATTACTACTTTTTGTGAATACGGATATAAAGTACTCCCTCCGTCCCATTGGACTTTGCCAACTTTCCCTTTTTGGTTGTCCCAAAAAACTTTGCCATTTTCCTATTAAAACATCTAATTTGTGGTTCTACTCATTTCTCTCTCCTCTGCACAAACCTCCACCACACAATTTTTACTTTTCTTATTTCTCACCAACTTTTGACTTGGCAAAGTCTACAGGGACGGAGGTAGTATGTTGTTAACTACAGAGTAATATAGTTGTGAGAAGGTAGAGGAAATGCTCCTTTTTAATGCATTCTTTTATTCAAGGATCTTTGTAAACACAGTCAACATTGTTTCATCAGATCATTTCATGTATCTATTGTTTCATCTTCTTTTCTGTACAGTGTTAAGAGGATACTATCCTTTACCCTCTGCTAACCCTGATTTTCATAGCAGATGAGTCCCGAGGGATGGCTTCTAATAAAGATGCATTTACCACAGATAGTCAAAGAAGAGGTATGTTATATTTTCACTGGTAAAATGTTTTTAAATAAGAAAGTTTATATTGTGATAATTGTATGTACACCATGATCAGCGGAGGTTGTACTAAAAACCAAGATACACATTACTGAGTTATAAATGGTGTTCTACAATAGCATATCCTATAGAGTCTGAAATTATTAAAATTTAAATCTTATAGGGAGAACACGACCACTTGTAGCAAATTGGGACAAGAGAGAGAGAGTTTCTCCTTATGAAGGTTTTTCAGGCAGTGGTCTAACAGGGAAACTACCTGCTCAGAGTACACTCCAAGCTAATAAAGTATGTTCATATATGGTATTACATGCTTTATTCTTTACTTTTTAGGATAATAAGGACCTGGGTTTCATTTTTTGGGCAAATATCGTAAGGACTCGGTGTGCATAATACTATATTGTAGAGCCAACACAACTCTTTCAATTGGCAGGCGTAAATGTAAAATCATCATTAGCTATGTATTACTCCCTCTGTTCCGCTAAGATTATCCCATTTTTTCTTTTTTGGTCCGTGCCGCTATGGTTGCCCCGTACCAAATTTGGCAATGTTTTTATGTGGTCGTAACTCATAAATCATTCTTACTTTATTAATTCAATACTAACCACACAAAATCACTTTTCTTAGTAACCACACCACCACGTCATGTACCAAAAGTTAGGGAGATAGAGATAATATCCTGAATATCAAATAGTAATTTCAAAGACTAGACGGCGTTGACCGGGGGGGGGGGGGCAGTTGGAGTTTTGCTTCCAGGGAATAGTTGGAGATCTCTGAAGCATGGGTTGATCGTGATATTGTAAATATAAAAAGCTCTGTTTTTTTTTCAACTCCACCGTTAAAGTCATTCAGGATGTTTCAAGCGTTAGCTGTGCTGATTTAGTTAGCAATGAGTTTGGCTTAACAGTTTGCACAGTTCACGAACGTGCTAGAAACACTAAATTTTATTTTCTTTGATACTTCAGTATGACCAGAGGGGGCACACATCATCAACTGAAAAGGAGATGGCTTTAATGAAACCTATTAGTGATGAGGACTTCATTTCCAACCTGATGGAACAACATGATCAATTTGTTGACTCAATGCAGACTCGTTTATCCAAATTACAAGTAAGCAGTGATAATGTCCCTGATTGTTGGCTTGGTTACTCATATATTAATTAAACATGACTCATATGTTGGGTCGGGGACGTAATGTGGAAGATCTTGTCTCTACTTCTTTACACGCTGTTCCAAAGTTTTTAGCCCTTGATCCAACAGTCAAGTAGTCAACGGGAAAACACTTGGCCACTCGCAAGGGCCAAGTAGAGTTTATAAACCATGTTACTATGTTAGTCTTTATATAACAGTGAGGCCCTTTAAGGGTTTCATTTTTCTTTTTAGGTCTCTTTTATCTACCTGGAAAGACCAGACATTGTGTATCTACCGGAAACAGTCTGTGTAATATATAGTACATGGGTAAGGCTGCATACGTCCGACCCCCCTACCACACCGTAGATGGGAGCCTTTGCGGCACTAGGGTAATCAGGTAATGTTGTTGTTGTGAAAGACCAGACATTGGGTATGCTTCATTTCTTCGTATTGAACAAATAATGCGCAGCAAAGAAGGATATATGCGCTGAGCCGCTGACTTCCTTCCACTCTTAGAGAATAATTACATGTAATAATTACAGAATAACATTAAAACCTATTTGAGAGAATGTATGTAGCAAACATGTGTGTACATACACTCAGTGACACAATACACACAGTCACACACACACAATATATATATATATAGAGAGAGAGAGAGCTCTTCCTGTCCGGAATTTCCGAACAGGACCCTGGTCCGGCCACCTCAATTTGAGGTGGTTCCCGGTGGTATTTTTGACTCAAATTTTTTGTGTATGTTCCTCATCAAATCTAGTTCATTCATACCAAATTTGAGCAAAAAATTCAATCGGAAAGGTCGTCAAATGATTTTTGCAAGTTAACTGGTCCGGAATATACATAAATTCCTCAATTCTGTAATATATTACTCCGTAATATTTACATTTGAAATTTGAATAAAATGAACCACAATTGTCAATGTTTTTTTTTATATATATTTACATGTTATATATTCATTTATTAATATAAATAGCTTCACTATTTAAGTCTAGGTCTTTTTTTCTTAACTTTTGACACTTTGCATTGTGGGTCATCCGAAAACAGTCTCTCTGTGCTTTAGTACAGGGGTAAGACTGCGTACATCCGACCCCCCCTTACCTCACCGTAGGTGGGAGCCTTTGTGGCACTGGGGTAAATGATGATTGATTGACACTTTGCATTGTATTGCAACTTTGATTTATTAAATTTATTTTTGGGAAAATCGCACTTTCAGTCCCTCAAATAGTACTCATATTGAAATGTAGGCCCTGTATTTTCAAGTTTATAATTGTAACCCCTCAGTTGTTCAAATTATGGTAAATGTGCTCCTTTTAGGGGTGACATATATAATGTGGGTGAGGCCCGCATTTACATGCATTCAGGCAATTGAGAGGTGACATTTACACACTTGAGAACACAGGGATTACATTTCAATATCGGCACTATTTGAGGGACGGAAAATGCAATTTTCTCTAGTTTTTTATAATTATTTGGAGATAAACTTTATAGAAATTCAAAATATAGTGGCCTTACACAAATTGAAATGCATACTAGCTCATTAGGTTATATCAAGTCGGGTCATGGGTCAACATCTAATGATCCGTGCGGGTCACGGGTTTGGTTGAGTCCACTTAGGAAAGTCATGGGCGGGTCTGGGTCCTGCACTACCCGCCCTGACCCATTGGCATGCCTAGTTATAGTGACCTTAATTAATACACAGTATAGTAGTATTGCTTAAGACTCAATAATTCATCATTGTTATGGCAATGGTCAATGAGCTATACCAATTAGGCCTATGGGGTTCTGCCACAGTAACATATTGAGCAAGCCGCATGCCTTTGCACTGTTCTAAATAGGTTCAGCCTCGTTGCTACTTCTTCCAAGATGTCCTGATACGTGTCTCATTGCTTAATTTCAAATACAAAGTTGAACACTGGCAATCCTTTCATGATAAACAGGCAGGTGATTGATCTGGACTCTGGAGTGGCAGAGTGAGATTTCACCACCATTTTCTGTGTTTGATCTCTATAATTGTGATCATAACCGTTTTTCCTCTACTGCTTCAGTCATAAGTGACTAATAGCATGCTATGTGTAGTCATTTTTATGGATGTTGATCCTCTGCTAGTTTTGAGAAAGAAATGGGGGGAACCTAGTCTAAAGTCATGATATTTATTTTTTTCTATGTTCCTACTACAATGCTTTTCAAGCGTCTTCTTCATAAATATACTATTTGAACCTTTTTTCAAAATTATGTAGTTATGATATAGCTGTACAAATAAACTAGAATGCAACCCAGATTGGGTTTTGTAAATTGGTCTTGTATTAACTCATTAGCATTGCAAATTGGTGTTTATAGATATAGAACCAATTGCAAATTACACCATTCTGCACAGTTTGTACTCGCATACTCGTGTATATTAAGCCTGGCAAAGGATTCAGGACGGATAACAATGCTAAGAATGATTACACAAGGTTATCAGAGAACGATGCAACTTGTATGTGTGTGTGACTGCGTGTGTGCTCACATGTTTTGTTTTGTGTGACCCTAGATTATTTTATACTACATACATTTAAATTTCAGTGTGTACTGTGTACTATTGTCAATATGTATGATATCATATTCAATTTCATACTCAGTTATTCTTTACATGGAGAGGAGGCCACATTACTTGGAATGTATTATGCACTGTCTTTAGCTTTTGGTATATCTGTTTTTTATTAACAGATGTATAAGCCGAACATTATTTGAAATTGTTTGCAGGTTGTCTGCAGATATTGGCAACGGAATGATATCAAAGGGGCACTTGGTGCGATGGAGAAGATGGCCGATCACGCTGTAATAATTTTGTTCTTACACAAAATAATCTAGTCTAGTCTAGTGCGTGTGTGTGTGCTAACTCTATATCAATGCTCACTTCAACCTTTTTCCTCCCCAAAATGGACTTCTTGCAATGCGTACAGGTGCTTGCTGATGTGTTGAGCTTCTTGACAAAACAATCTGACATAATAACGTTTGATATCTGCACGTCTCTTCTGCCACTTCTTTCAGGTCTTCTTGGGAGCAACATGGAAAGGTACATGAATTTTAGCTTAGGTTGTTTCTTGCATAGTTTAATGACTTTATTTCTGAAGTAATAGCGTTATGTTCTATATTTCTGTAATATAAGATTTGTGAATGAGTTATATACTTGATAAAGTGTCTTCATGCTTGCATTATGAGTTCTCAGTGATGCTTTAAATTTCAAAACGTTCCTATACATTGCCATAGTAGTGAAGTGTAACTGTTTTGTTTATATTAGGCATCAAGATATTTCACTTGAAATGCTTCTGAAGCTGGTTAAAGTGTTTGGATCAATGATATATTCATCAATGTCAGCTCCAGCATCAGTTGGTGTGGATATTGAGGCAGAACAAAGGTAACTTTTTTCTATCACCAAATGCTTTTGCATTACTTTAGTTTTTTTCAAGTTCTCATTTTAAAAACTGTTTCACTTCTGGGTTTGGTAGGTTGGAGCGCTGCAATCTCTGCTATATTGAGCTTGAAAAGGTCAAACATTTTTTGCCTACTCTGACCAGGTGTGCCCCCCTCCCTTTAACTCTCAAAAGAAATTCTTCTGTATCTTTTGATGGCTGAACTAGGTTTCATTTTCCAGAAGAGGAGGATCTATTGCTAAATCTACACAGGAGCTCAGTCTACTACTAAAAGAATTTTCATGACAGAATAACATGATGGTTAAATATATTGAGGGAACAGATAATGTCGCTCAGATTGACAAGTGATATATGAAGGACGAGAAGCTTTCGGTGATGGCATTTGTTTGCATATGCTGAGATAGCCCTTCGGTTTGTACATTCTGCAAGGGTGAAACATTAATGACTGATTCTTTCCGCATTTTTACTGATATCTGATAACTCGAGGGACCCACCATCTCCTCTACAAGGATGTTTTGTTGGCAGTGAAGCAAGGAACTGGTGAAGAATTCATCACACGTTAATATCTAACCCACTGTTCACAAGTTCCATGTGTAATTGTAGGTTTTAGGCACTGTGACTTGAACCATAGTTCTTGCAATTGGTTTATGTATTCAGAGTTAATATTATGATTTGTTAATAGTTTTTGAAATGAAAAGTTAATGGGCATCCGATATTCTTGAATGAGTGCATCTGCCATCTTTCATATGTGAAGTTAAGAGTTTAGTATAGGGGGTTGGTGCAGCCATGCAGCACATGGGTTGAGTATGATGAAGACAATTTTATAGGCAACTCGATTAGAACGGGTTGGAAAGTGTATTGGTGGGTAGGAACTAGGAGGTAACCAGACATCCATTGCAAATAAAAGTTGTTAGGAAAGTGAAATTTTCTATTGGCAGACAAAAGTTTATAATTCATGTGGTTACCAATGATTAGAAAATTGGTTGTGACATGACAAAAAATCTACTCTCTCCGTCCCTAAATGTTTGTCCTACTTTCCCGAAATGGATGTCCCAAAATGTTTGTCCTTTTTTAACTTCCTTGTTTGGCAAATAATCTTTATCAAACAGTGTCATTGCAGTGTAAAGTCAAATTCATTTTTTTAATATATGTGAAGTCAAAGTGGGACAAACATTTAGGGACGGAGGTAGTATTGTTTTGTCAATTATGTATATGGCACCTCTCTAGAAAACTTCATCATTTGCAAGATATTCTAGTGTCACTTACATAGTGATTCAGACTTACCTAAGAAAAAGATCTATTGATTGGGTTTAAACTTTAAAAGGCCCTAACCCCTGTGATCTATAAGTGATGGAGCATTAGGTTATTGATTGATTTGAAAAGTGCGATACATCCTTTTGTGTTATTATTATAACTTAATAGTTCGAAAATTGCGTGTTGTTATGATTAAACATGAAAGTAAACAATAAGTTACGGGGGCTAATGCGTAAATTTTAACTGGTAAATTATTATTACTTGAGTTGAAGAGAAGATGGATGGTAAGGATTTATTGGGTGTGTAAAATTAGGGGTGATGGACGGCCTGATTTAAAATCGTAATGCGTTTGTTAACATTCACAGTTGATGATTGGGATTGAGGGTATTGAGTTAATTTATTGTGCACATGGATAAGAAGTCACTTTATTTGGATGACTGATATGATACGGCGGAGCTTAAGGATTGTCCAAATACAATAGCTAGTAGATCCTTTGTGGTATAATAATTAATGCTTCTCGGCCGAACTTCAATGCAGAATAGAATTATGTGAAGCTAAGCGTGCTCTTCAAAAATCAAGATAGTACATGTTTGGAGAAATTTGGTAATGACAAACCCTATTCTGTCAAAACAAGACAGAAGAAATTGCCGTTACTCCGTTAGTGATCCCCCTACTTTACTATGAATGGACACGTTTTCCGCTTGGGCGGACAGAGTTTTCGCACAACGGCTTAAGCCCATCTGGTCTCAACTGATTATGCGATCATATATGACTAAAATAAAGGTAATGACTACGTATACTTGTGGGCACTTAAGTCATATTTTTATATCGGTCCTATTTACTATACTTAAGTCATGTTTAGGGAAAAACCTAGTATGATTCACATTCCGTTGAGGGCAGTTTTTGGGGCGGACTTTAGGAGTTGAGGTGCCCAAAACTATAGAACTGGTCCTGTTCTATCTCAAATACATTCCCTCCCAAGGTCTGCAACAGTAATCCTAAACAGTGGAGAAAGGCTAGTCAACAATAAGAACAAGTTTCAGAAAAATGATACTGGGTGCAATTTTATTGAACCAAGATGGTTAAATTGGTAACCAATTCATTTTTGGCTGCCAAACAAACAAGATTGTATCTCGGGTGACACAAAAGAGCATCAGTCCCTTTACATCTCAGATGAAATCTTGAAAAAGAGTCAATTGACTGCATTTATTCAGGCTCTAGTATATTCAACTATAGCAGTCTAACCAACAGGTTTGAAAATGTACATCTTGCATGCATGAGGTTTCACGGTGGCTGTAAAGTTCCCGACGAATCTTGTCCTCAGGGTCTTGTGCTGCACATTAATTATGGATGGGAAAAGAAAAAGCATATGTTGTCAAATAAAGATAACAGTTCGGAGAATGAAAATGATAATCGCGTGGTTAGCAGACATGCTTACCTCCCAAAGGTCTCTTGCAATTACAGTGCTTTTGAGAGGAATTCCAATGTCATCCCACTCGGCCGTGATCTCGTATCGGATGGGGCCACGATTTAATAGCACTACAGCTACACGGTAGCCTGAAAGGGGCCCAGCCCAAATCTAACCAAGGAAAAGATGTAAGATGAAAAGGAAAAGTGTGGTTACCCAATCTGCTTCAACCTCAAAAGGAACTTTAATTGCTATAAGACAGAGAGATCATAAGCTTTTACCTCACTATCACCTTCCATTCTAACTTTTTTAGCCTGAACGCCATTTGAATCTATTTGCAGCAAAACAGTGAAATTTTCAATTACTTGTTTTAGTTCTTGATCAGTTGATCCCCCAAAGAGTACATAAAAATAACTTCAGAAATACCTTGGTTCACGGCAATCACCTCCTTGTTTGAAAGAATCCGGAGCGTCTCTTTTGTCATATTTCTCACATCACAGCCAATAATGAGCGGAGCCTATTAACAAATTAAGAACAACCACAAAGGGCAAACTTTTTATGCTGCAAAAGTGGTAAATTGTTAGGTCATCCCACAATGACCAAATATAAATATACAAACCATCATATAAGGACTTTGGCTACTTGTATATTTTAGGATGAAGCTTCGTCTCAATATAGTGCAGAGCCAATCTCAACGACAATGATCCAACTAGGACTAAAAAAGAAAACCCATTTCGAGATTGGCTTGTGAGCCACCATGACATGTTAAGTCATCCAACATAGTCAAATATATAGAGAAATCCCAAATCTCAATACAACAACAACATCCAAGCCTTAATCCCAAAAGATTTTGGGGTTGCCTAACATGAATTGAGCCATGCTATCGATGCCAAATCTCAATATAAACAAGAAATTGGAGTGATCTACGGAAGTACCTTGGAAATGGCCCATAAACTAAAGTGGACTATGTATTCATCATTTGTCATTCCACCATTTCCAACTTCAAGCATGTCAGGATCTGAGATTACAGCTTGACTAAGCAAATTTATTATCCATCAAGTAACAAATTATGTTGTCAATTAATTCCTGGTATACTGACCATTCCAACCCCCGGGCCTTGCATAATCAGCGTAAACTTCATTCTGATCTGCTCTTGAAATCATGCTGTCGTAAAATCACCAAAAATGGATGAAAGCATTCACACATGATTTGAGCATTCATACTAGTTAGCCTTCAAATGTGGGAAGAGCTATGCAAAATCTTACCTGTCCCATGTATCAGTAATGTCATTTGTGGTTCTCCAGCTGTTTCCCACCTTATAGCCCCACAGGGCTGGGTGCATATCACCCCTAAAATTAAGTGGAAGAGGGGTAAGGGGAAGCAAAAATACAAAATAAAAATCTTAAAGTCAAGCTAAAGACCTAAATTTAATATTAGAGCAATTACTAAATTGCCAATTTACCATTCACATAGACTATAAAAGATCCTGTGTCCAGCCTTCATCAATGCTCTGGTCATAACAGGAAATCTAGAACCAACAAAAGAATAGCAAAACCATTCAGTAAGTATCATAGAATTACAAACTATATTGCACAAATTTTGATGAAATCATAGACTTACCTTACAGTTGGTTTAGACCCATCATGGTTACAATTATCGTACTTCAAATAATCTATACCCTGTAGAAACAGGTTATGAGTTACTCAAAAAGCATTTCAATTGCTTGGGTTGGGCTATAATGGTTTGGGTCTTACACACGAGATCCAAATTTTATCGCACAATTTCTTTTGTAGCACCCGTACTTTTCCAGTTTAACCTACTTTTCATTCTCGAATCCCATGTAAGGTCTATAATTGGACTTCGTTAAATGTCAATACTTTTTCTTCATTAATCTATCTTCATTTATATTATATTAAAATAATTGTTTTCTCTCACTCTTTCATATGCCACTAGGATGGACCCAAACACATTCACCCTCCCATAGGAGATGCTCTAATATCAATTGAAGCCAAATGCCAGCAATTGGGAAAATCCCATAGTACAAATAGAACACCTAAGAAGAACAAACAAATACCCAATTTGCAAAAGTCTTAGCATCTTGCTCTTCATGGCCAAGAGAGCCAGGCATTGTTTTGCTGCAAGTGTAATATCTGCAAATTGAAAAGAAAAAGAAAATGACAGTTGATTGATAAAGCCGCCATTACTTTTACACGATTATCGCTGAAATGATTTAAAACATTTACCCAGCACTTGAGTAGATTCCTAGCTTCAGGCCCTTGCTGTGCACATAATCTGCCAGGGCTTTGATCCCGGAGGGAAATGTTGAATTCTTAGGCAGAAGATTACCCTGGAAATTCAATCAATGCAAGCAGAGACAAGAAAAATTAGAGGTCAACATCTACAAAGTTTACATTTATAATTGGGGATGGAAATACTCAACACTTGGACAATACCTGGTCATCGCGATGGATTTCAGCCCAGCAATCATCTGATGTTAAAGCATCAGATCGATGGTAGATTCATATAACAGAAAATTAGCAAAAAACCATCAGAAGCAACATAGGAGGCTTATTGAACAGAAACATGAAATACTGCCATGCTTGCCCGCTAAGGTCATATCTAGATTCTTACCTATATTGACATATCTATACCCATGCTTAGCAAGACCACTTGAAACAAGAGCATCAGCTGTTCGGAAATGAAAACTTATATTTCAAAAAACTTAGAAGATCTGATCTGATATCAGAAGCACTAATATATTCACGAGGACAAAGTATGCAGTTGAAATGTTACCAGTTTCTTTTATCATGTTCTCATCAATATTGCAAGCAAAATGGTTCCAACTGTTCCAACTGAAGCAAAAAAAAAGGTGAATAACAGCATTAACAACAATGATAAACAAAAGCAAAAACAAGAATAAGAACAAAGATGCTCACAGAAACAGGGGCATTCACAAAATAAAGTGAATGAAATCTCAAACCTAGCAATTTCATTTAAATAACTGGAAATACCAACCAGTTGAGAGTGTTCACTGTTCACAATAAGTAACAAGTACTTACCCCATAGGAG